GGGACGCCTCGGCCGGGCGGGCGCGCCCCTTGCCTGCCCCTTGCCTCGGCCGGGCGAGTGCGACGCAGCTCCGCTTTCTCCGCGCGCGCCTCAGCCGCAGACCGCCCGGGCCCGTCTCCCTCCCGGAGCAGGGCTCTGAATGGCACTTGCATTCTCTGTGAATCCAGCATCCCAGCTCCAGCCCCTTACAGTCAGGCAGACAGCCGTGGGAAGGCGCTTGGCTGCTTGCGGCTCTCGGTGAGAGAATGACGCCTGCTGCGAGAGGTTCCGCTCAGGGCGCAGGAGCCCAGCAGAACCGGGGAGGTTGAGTTGATATCACCAGGGGGACAAGGAACGGGGCGGGGGGCGCACCGAGTGCAGATGTGGAGTCTAGTGGAGTCTGCTGGCCGCCAGCTGCTGTTCACCGTCTCTTACTGCTCAACAAGTGCCAGAAATCCGGCCTGCGGGCGTTGCTTCCACTCTAGCTCCAGCTCGCCAAGTTCTTACGAAAATTAAACGACAGGACAGGTCCTCATAGAGCCTGAGCTCTTCTCTCTTCCGCTATGAATGTCTTCTCTTCTCGCCTGGCTCTAACCCCTACAGCATTATCCAAGTCTTTCTGTATTTTAGAAGTTGTGTGTCCTTTGCTCAGCTGGCCACATCAATGTCTGGCTAGTAGGCACACATTCAGGAGTGCTCAGGCCTCTCCCACTGTCGCTGGCTATTATTACCTTAGGAGTCTAAGCTGAGGGAGAGGGGTTTTAGATGCCAGTTAGAAGTCAAGGCTGGGGTTTCAACTCCCTTTGTTGGTCCTGGATTCCTAGGTGGGATATCTGGGAGAACAGAGAGCACAGACCCTGGGATTCAGCTCAGTCTGACAAAGGAGACGTGATCTCTTTTCTCAACAATCTTACAGGTGGATGGGACAGATAGGTTGTAAATGTGCATATAAAATAAATATTAAATACTTGCAGGTGATAACTAACATGTATTAAGTGTTACTATGTACCAGGCACTATGTTTAAGATTTTATCCATACAAATCCATTTAATCATCAGCCCTGGGGGCTGGGGGTTTAGCTCAGCTTGCCAGCGCCTGCCTGGCACGTGCAAGGTCGTGAGTTCAGTTCCCGGTACCGGAGAAAAACCAAAAAAAAAACAAAAAACAAAAAACAAACAAACAAACAAACAATCATCAGCCCTGTTTAGTAGATGAACCAATTTGTATGTTGAACAGTTTGCCCAGAAAGGCAAAATTCTTAGTGTGAGAAAGGTGGGATTTGAACCTGGGAAGTCTGGTTCTGGTGCCCCTCCTGGCCACTACACTACCTTGCCCTTTAATGAATTGCTCGGTGTAAATTCAAACAAAGCAGCATTTTCCTTTGGTACTGGTAATCAAACTCAGGACTCTGTGCTTGCCAGCTGGCACTGTGCCACTGAGCTACACCCTCAGCCTACAAAGTAGTCTTAGGATGAAGACGGTTTATTTTGAAAACGTTAAGCTCAACATTACATCTAACATTAAACAGAATCCAGCTGTCAAACTAACTGAATTCACCTGGGAAATGAGAGGAGGACTGTACTACACACCAAGTATTTAAGCACAAAGAAAGCTAATCATTTTGTCTGTTTCTTCTTGATACTGCAAGATTGGCCCTGACGTCAAGAGGCATGGGTTTCAGCTTCATGGTTTACTGGATAGATTGGTGGTGCAAGCGACTGAAGCCCTGGCTGTCAAGGATGGAGCTGATGGAGTGGTAGGACACTGCCTCCTGGAATAGCCAGTGGGTACCTTGTCTTCTCTACACACTTCCGAGACAAGACTCAATTTAGTGAGTGGTTCAGTGGACCAAAAGTCATACTTTCCATCAACCAGAGATTGGTGAGACCAGGCAAGAGGAAGACTCCTCTTCTCATCTTGGGCTGCACCTCTGACTTCCATTACAAGTTATAATGGAAAGTCTTTGCTCGTCACAGGACCCATGGAAAGTGTGACGGTGCAGCAAAGCGCTGCAGGCACAAAGCAGACCTCAGGGCCTGCGCCCCGCGGAGTGCTCACTTGCTCGCCCAATAGGTGCTGCACCGAGGTCGCAAGTGAGCGAAGGTCTGTGGGTTTTCTCTATGTCATTTCCTGAGCCGGTGATATGTGGTCCCTTTGCTTCCATCAAACAACCTTCACCCCCACTCTGCCTATGTGCTGAGCACCACAGAAGCAGAGGCGGCGGTCACCGAGGGGTGAGGGAGCTTCTCCCAGTTTGCTGCAGATCTAAGACCCTTCTTTCCAGCAGAGCCTGTGTGCATGTATCCAGGAGCTAGGATTGAAAACACTTAAGCTTCTTTTGTTCTACCTTGTTCCACATCATTGTTAACTACTACATGTAGGTTCAGCACAAACGCTTTTGTTTGCTTTTTCAGTACTAAGGATTGAACCCAGGACCTTGGCATTGAGCTACATCTCCAGCACCTCCTCCCCTTGTTTAATTTTTATTTTGAAATAGGATCTTGTTGAGTTGATAAATTGCCCAAGCTGAGCTGGAACTTGTAATCCTTCTGCTTTCTCCACCCAGAATGCTGTTACTATAGGCGTGTGCCACCACACCTGGCCAGTACCACCTTTACAAAGCAGACCTACACTGTACTTGTGACATATTTCTTGTGTTTGTTCCAGGGGTCATCTGCTTAACCCATACATCCACCCCCTTCCCCGCTCTGTTCATGGCTTTGTTGTCTGATGGGTTTTTGGCTAAAGAAATTAGACTTTTATTGTTCTAAACTTAGACCTGATGTCTTCATTGTACATATGGCATGTCTTCTTGAGCATGGTGCTTACTCTGTATGGAGAGATTTTTGAGCAATGTTACAGTGTCATAGAAATCAGGGCAGAAGCATTCAGAAGGAAAGATAGAAGCCCAAGAAGGACCACCCTGGGGAAAATGGACAAAGTTCCCATGTCTTTGCTGTGACTACACCTCAATATTCATGATCTTGATTCTGGCTTGGTCTCGTTGAACAGCAAATCAGGGCATCCCTTTGAGTACTGGCTTCATCATGTCCAGCACAAGGCCAGCTATGTGGAGAGGCCAGAAGGATGACAGGGGAGAGGAGGAGGGGGAGAGGTACTAGGAGGGGGAGAAGAGGAGGGAAGGACAGGAGAGGAAATGTTGCATCCAATGCTAGGCAAAGGCCTAGGCCCCAACCTTGCCACCGGCCCGCCCACTGATGGCAGCAGAACACAAGGTCCTTGCATTTCAGGCAGCTGCACACAGCAGGGCAGCTGCACACAGCAGGGTCCTCTGGTTCTCCTGTGAGCCCACCCAAGGGCCAGGGATGTCTGGGACAAGACAGGGACTGGCAGGGGAGTCAGGCAACAGGATAGCCAAGGAAGGACAGCTTGGGACTGAACCAGAGTGGGTACTGTGAGGGCCTGGTTTGCCCTGGGGAGGCAGCAGTAGGACACAGGCTATGGATTTCCTGATGTGTGACTGGGCTGCCAGACACACACAGTGCCCATTCCTACCCTGCCCTAGTGGCCCCAGGGAGGCATCTTTCTTGATCAATATAAGGGCTCCCTACTAACACATACACAGTCTCCGCAGCCCACACATATCAAGAACCCCTACCCGCTCTGTGGGTCCCAGCACCTGCCCTGCCATTGCTGTGCTCCCACCCCATGGTGCTCACCTTGAACAGGAACCACACACCAAGAACAGCCACTGGCAGAGCCCAAGGGGAGCCGGCTGCGGAGAAGTTGTGCTAGGCCTGAGCTCTTTCTGACTGACACTCACTGGTCCTGTGCCTCAGTTTACCCCCACTGTGGCACAAGGTTATCCCACCTCATAGGCTCAGGGGCTCAGGGAGGCCGTCACACCTGGTTAAGTGGCTGTAGTGTGTGACATTGGGGTTGAGAGATAGTCCTGACCCTCTAGGAAGCTGAGTGAGGAGGGTTGCCAGTTTGTGCCCAGCACAGACAGACAACTCAGTCAAGGGGCTTGTCATCTTTATCTGTCTCAGATAAAAGATTTAAAAAGGGCTGAGGACATAGCTCAGTGCAAAGGCAACGGTATGTTCCCCAGTACTGAAACAAACTCCCTGCATACATACCCACAGTATAATGCTAAATTCCACCCTGCACAGCTGTGTTCCAGCTACCATTGTCGAACACATACGATACAAAGGAAAATAAAATGGAATGTGGTCCTGCGTGCTCCAGACATGCCTGCCTCTGCCTGTGATGACTAGGCTTGACATGGGGGAAAGAAACTCCCAAACTGCTAGCTGTCTGGTATGAGTTCGTGTTCTCTAAAATCAAAGAATGAATTTTAGGAACAATGGACGTTAAGAGCAGAATATATTTATTGGGGTGGTGGGGAAAGAAAGCTTCTGTCCAGGAGAGACAGAAGGGGTCCTAAATGGGTGGCCAAGGACCCTGTCTTTTCTATGGGATTTTATAGAGCAAAACCACAAAGTGAGGTAGGTCCAAGATGGGGAAAAATGGGAAATCCCAAGGTGGGCATACGGTAGGACAAAACTATGGCCAACCAATAAGATTACGAGTATAATTGCTCAGGTAAAATCGATTAAATCAGGATCAAATGGGAAAGCGAGTCACATAGCAAGTGGACCTCAATACAGAACAGGGGCCTGCCTGTAGAGGGTTGGGTTAGTGACTCTTCCTGGCTTTTTCAAGGTGATTGATACCTATTTACAATATCAATTCCTGATGTTTATCCTTAGGAAGTATGTGGGTGCTTTACCTTTTATCTTGAGGTCTGGCCCACAGCGGAGGTGTCTGTCTTCCCCGCAGCTGCAAGGTATCTCATCTTCCGCACTGGCTCCTTCGAGGGCCTGGCCCTGTCTGACTGCCTATAATGTTTCTATCTAACTTAGCTGCCTATAACACCAGTATGAGTGTGCAGAAGTCCTCCTGCCCTGTGTTCTAGGAGACAGTGGCAGTGATCCCCAGAGCTGTCCTTACCTGCTGCAAGCAACAAACTTGTCTGCCTTCTTCTCTCCCCTGGGTGTACATTGACACCCATTGTGACACACACTGAGGGGCAAGCCTACTCCATTCCTTTACAAAGTTTCTTAACAAAGTCAGAAAAACAAAGGATTGGGGGCTGCGTGGGCCACTGAGTGTTTATTAAGATTATCCAGCCTAATCCTGGAAACAAGCCTGCCATTAGCCAGCCTCCTGGGAAGATGAGGAAAGTGGGTTCTAGGAGGGCACCCAGAATGGCCCAGAGTCCTGAAGATCCAAGCAGAGGAGGCTGAGCTCATAGGCATTTATTTACCTGTCAGTCACAGGTGTGAGGTTCAGGCAGGAACATAGGGTGTGTCTGGGACTGGATGGGAAAGTAGGCATGACCTAGTCATCCCAGGACACATGCACAGAACATGCCTTGCCTGGCAGGGGGACTTTTCGCCAGACCTGGAGCAGGCTTTTGATAGGATGATCTGGGCCTGACTCAGGTGTGGGAAACATAAAAGAGGGATGGGCAACCCTTAAGCTTTCGTGATAGCCCACCCTACTTTGTTGGGGCTATTTTAATTTTTTTTCCCTTTTTTTCCTACTTTTACTTGGCCCAAACTCGCTTTGCTGGGCCTGTTTTTTTTGCCTTTAATAGATGTGAAACGTCACCCTTTATGCTTGTTTCAATCAATTATTTGTTCTTGACAGAAAGAACCTAGACATCACCTCTAGAAGGAAACTCTAGCACCCTGAAGCCTGGTAGTACTACAACACTAGCTTCTGGATCAGCGTCCTCTGGGAAGGCTTGGGGTAGGGGATGCACCTGCCCTCCCCTTACCTGTGCCCTAGAGCTGGCTGTCCCTGAGGGGCAGACTCCCCAAGGCACCCTCTAGGCCTCTCTTCTGTCAGCAGGAGGAGGCCTGGCAGCCATAGAAGAGACAGGAGCCCAGAGCAACCTTCCCATGCAGATCCTCCACCTCCCTCCAGGACCATGACCACCGGCAGAGATGTGCATCCCCTTGACCCTGAGACATTTGCCCCTTGCTTTCCAGCATGCTGCCTGACACTGGCTGCGCATTCCCTGTGAAACACCCTTAACCGACAAGTCATGAGAGCAGCTGGGGAAATGTTGGCCCTGGAGGGTGTCAGCTCATCAGAGGGGATGCTGGAGGGCTGGTGTGAAGGCCTCAGTTGACACATAAGTATCCGCCTTGCAAAGTCTGGCCTCTTGCTTCGGTCAAAGCTGGCCGTGAACTGGGCCCCAAGAGATGGAGGATACAAGCAGAGGAACTTTCCCTTCATGCGGAACCAAGGAGGCACCATAGCAGAGGCACAAGGTCAGGCTTCCCCCTATCTACCCAAGCTTTGCTGGGGACCACAGGGGACAGGGATGTCTTCACTGTGTGTGGCTCCAGGCCTGACCCGATTTGATAGTATCCCTGCAACACCCAGAACCCCATAAGCTGCTGTGGCTGTCCTGGTCCTGATCGGAGGGAACAGCAGAGCACAGCACTGTCCCCACAGGCTGCCCTCGCCACCCAGCACTGGTTCTGTCCCTGCTACCTCTGTGCCCCGGGGCTCAGCCATTCCTGGTGTCAGGTGGAGCCTTCTCTCCCTGCTGCTGTCTGCTGCTCCACATCCCAGGGGCTCCAAGGTGATAGCCACAGTCATGGCCACAGCCAGCACAATGCTAGGGCACAGGTCTAGGTGGCCATAGGGGGTGGGGTAGGGGCAGCCCCAGGTGTGAGTGGTCTACTGCTGCATAAGGCCGCGGGGTGCCAGTGGGAGAGGGCAGCTTGCTTCCCCCCATCCTGCATGCTACTGCCATCTAGGGCTGCAGAGCAGTTGAGAATCCCATTCCTTTCCAGGACAATCTGCACTGTGTTCAACCCCGCACATTTCACACACCAACTTTGGCCACTGATATTTCTGTGCACCTGTCCATTAGTGAGCCGGGGAATTATGGGGGTGCCTGTAGTGGAGCAAGAGTCCCACAGGTGTCACAGGTCATGGGATGGCCATAGGGCAGCCTGTGACATGTGCACCACCAGGCCAGTCATAGCCTCCATTTGTACAGCATAGGCTCAGATCCTCTAGCCCCCAGGGGTGGTCTTTGTGAGAAATGGGGTGTCCTGGTGACTCAAGATAGGTCAGTACTCAGCTGAATCCTATGGTCTGAGCAGGAGTTCCCCAGGCAGCTGAGAGCAGGATAGGATTACAGGCTGAGCAAATGTGTGTGCATATGGACGGGCAGTGTAGGACTGTGTGGCTCTTTGACCTGACCCAGAAAGTACAGGGACCACTGCCCAGAAGCCAGGGAGACTGCCACATTTGTTAAGGACCTGCCTGCACCACGTCGCTCGGCTGCTCCAGTGCCCTGCTCAGGTGGCTGTAACCACAGTTGCCAGGGGGTGGGGCTTTGTAGGCTCAGAATGAACTGCAGGGGCGAGAACCCCAGGTGTAGGATGCCTGCTCTAGGCTCTGAGGAAGACCCATGTGGGGGGCTGGGGCTGGGCCCACAGTTCTGGGACACCACAGGGTGGGGATAAATTTCAGCTAGGAAGGTCAGGACTGGAGCTCGTTTCCAGGAGGACCCACCAAGTGTGAGGCGCTATGCTGAAGACACTGTGGACCCTGGGTCCTCCTCACCCACACGGCTGGCAGCTTCCATTCCCATGCTCACTAGGCAAGCAGATCCTCCCCCACTCTCAGGCAGCTCAGGGAGGTCAGGACCCAGGTAGCACAGAGGGGAGAAGTTGCCTCATGTTGCTGCTTCTGTACAGCTGGCTTGTGGCTTGGGGACTTACATCTCTCATGGAGAAATGAGCCCCGAGGGCCCTCAGGGACCAGCCACTCCCTTCCCCCTTCCCCACTGTGCAGAGCCCACCCTGCAGCTCCACGTGCAGCTGGTACTCTGGAGACTGGAGACCGGAGTGTATGCACTGAACAGAGAACCCACGAGGGCTCCAGGAGCCAGGGTGCTCTCCTCTGTGCCCCCGACAGCTAAGTGCCTCTGCCCTGTGTTACCCCTGTTGCTTGCTCCAGCCAAGCACAAAGCCGTCTGGATTGGTGGAGGCTCTGTACCCACTATGGAGCATCTTGCCCCATCCAGTGCATCGCCCCAGGCAGCTGCCTCCCAGGTCCCTCCCGGGCTGCCATTGAGGGGACACAGCGGCATACTCTACCCTAATCTATTAATTAATCAGCTATTAATCCATTAGGTTGCATGTGTGCCGTCACTCTCGACACCCTGCCTCGTGGGCTGAACAAGGTTTTCTGTCATGACTGGTTTGTAGGAAGGAGCTGGGAGCTGGAGTGCTTCTCTGGTCCTGTCTTTCCTAATTCATCCTGTCATGATGTTTTAGGGTCACTTCCTCTACACTCACCTATGCAGTTCCCACACTTTGCATACCATATGGCTTTGATTTTGAGCTTATTAGGCTGTAGTAATACACAGGTATTACACCTCAGTATTTTAAAAATGGTCTTAGGGGGCTGGGAATATAGCTCAGTGGTGCAAGTGCCTGCCTGGCAAGTGCAAAGTTCTGAGTTTGATTCCCGGTACCAAAAAAAAAAAAAAAGTGATCTTAGGAAGTAATTCCAGTTAAATGCCAACTGCGTTATGAAAAGCACTTCAGATATATCTGGCTACATGTGGTAAAATGGTGAGGCCACAATACTGGAAGCTACTTTATATGTACAAATGCACAATGGTTGGTGATAGACTTTAGTATAATCAAGAACGGGGTATGCTAGATCAATGAGCAGGATAGACATCCTGTAGAGCCACACACCGGGACATCTGATTTGGAAGCAAGGGACAGTTCAGTGAAGGACAGTGTTTCTGACAAAGGAGTTTGGACACGGGTACCTAGAGAGCCATACAAAAACATGGGCTTTGGTCCCTACCTCTTACCAAATAGGGATAACTCAAAATAGATGAAAGACCAAAATGTGAAATATGAATTGATGAACTTCATATGGGACAAAACCTTAGAACTGCCACGTTACTTGGTTAAGCTTCTGGACTCCTTGTGTTGCCACAGTGTATCAACCATAACCAGGAGTTAGCTGAACTCCCCTGTAGTTGATTTCCATAGACTGTGGTGAAGGTGGCTGCTTCCCAACCTCTTTGCTGGACAGAGTAAATCTGTATGAAGTCAGGCTCAACACATCATCACCCATACACGGTGATTCTTCCCCGGGAGTGGAGTCAGAGAGCAAAGAAGACATGTGAACACAGGAGATAAACAATAACCAGGTTTTTATGTGCACAATAGGGAAATACCAGGGCTACTGAGGCAAATAGGTGAGGGACACAGGGGTAACAGGAAAGAGAGGTGGGTGTCAAGCCAGGTCCACGCTAACTGGCCCACAGTTTGGAATAAGCAGGTTCATAGTCATGCTAGGGAAGGCTGGCTGATTGACATCTCTCTTCTGTGCCCCAGAGGGGTGGCAGCTGCACGGGAGGAGGCTGGACGGAGACTACAGCAGGACAGACATGGGTGGTGGGGTGGTACCATGGCTTCCAAGTCAGACAGCAGTTGGGCTGTAGTCATGGGTGTAGACATGGAAGACAAAGTTGTATCCAAGCCAGAGGCAGGCCTGGACGGTGACAGTGTACTGGCTCTGTCTGCTAAAATGTTGAAGCATGAAGGGTCCATGACAGGCAGGACAGGAAGAGGGGCTTTGGGCAGACAGGCTGGCTGTTGTTGCCCATCAGGCATCCCCATTGTGGGGTAGGGAATGGTTTGCAGGGCAAGGGGACAGTTAAAGATTGGGGTGGGGCAGGAGACGCTACGTATACAAGGTCTGGTGGAGACCGGTCCCTTTGGGAAACAACCATCTGGTAGAGGAGCAACTACAGGGGTGGGTGTCAGGGGTTCTCTTAGGCAGGAGGGAGGTTTTGAGGGGACACCAGGGCTGTGAGGAGAGAACTGGGAGGTGCGATAGAATCGGGGCTGAGGGTGTTACTGGCCAGTCTCTATTGGGTGTGGAGGAAGACAGAGGGTCACACAGAGTAGGGGGCCCAGCTGCCTTCTGTACCCAGGCGGAGGTGGTAGGGATACTGGGGACTGAGCAAGTGTTCCTGGGATGGGGCAGGGTGTCTGCAGTCCCTCCAGCAGAAGTGAGAAGGTGCTGGCCAAGGGGCAGCGCCACCTGTCACTGTCTCTTATTTCTCCTCCAAGGTCTCTCGCTTCTCCTCTGATGTCTTGGGGTCCTCTGGCCTCCACATGTTCTCTGCTGGCTGCCCAGGTGTCCCTTCGGAGTCAAACAAGGGTGCTTAGGAGGTCGGGGCAGCTTCTCTCATCCCAGTCACAACCCTCCGTGGCAGGACTGGTGGCACATGTGCTTTCCCCTTGCCAGGCCTGTGAGCTTCAGCTCCGGGGGAAGGCGGCAGTCTCTTGGCACAGCTGGAGGCTTTTTGCTCTTTGCCTCCTTCTCTGGCCCCCTGGGAGGTTGGAGAGCAGGTCTGACGTATCCATCCAGCACTTGCTCCTGGGAGTTTAGCAGTGGGGAGCGGCCTGGTGCTGGGGCAGGTGACACTGGTGTGTGTGCCTCAGGCTGCCTGAGGTGCGAGCTGGGAGAGGCCGGGTGGTCAGAGATGACCGGAGGAGACAGGAGGGCCATCTCACTCACTTCTAATCCTTAGGCTGGAGTTTACCTTTCGAGGCTCATGACCGTGCCCCAAGGTGGTTAGGTCTCCCTTGGACTCCATGGGCCTGTTGCAGGGTTCAGGACCAGACCAAACCAAGACACGGCACCAGAGGCACTTTGGAAGACAGACAGCTTTGTTATATTGGCAGACTGGGGACATTGAGGTCTAAAGCACCAGCCCTTTGTTAAAGTAAGGTAGTCATTTATATAGGTTTTCAAAAGAAGTACAAAGGAAGATAACAGGATATTTTATAACTGGTTCCGTAGGCTGGGTCCTACGTTGTCAGGCAGACTTATTCTACATAAGCTTGTTGGGGTTGCTGTGGTGTAACACGGGGAAAGGATCAATCATTAGCTGAGATGGGGCAGAGGTGTCCTTGAGGTGATAACTCTCTGGGACTTAAAAGTGAGAAGAACATCACTGTCTAGCTAAGTGGCACTTACTTCACACCTGGCTCCGGAAGCACCATGGCTCATCAGGTTTTGTCACTCTCTAGAAGTAACTGTTTCCAGGCTCATCCTTGAGCATTAGAAATATACTAGTGTTAGAAATATAGGATTGAAATGGTCATTACATGTAAAATAGCCCCTGCAGGCCTCTATGGTGCCCAGCCCCAGGGCTGCCTCCCCATCCTGACGGTCCTGGCCTTTGGTTTCCTCCCGTACCACTCCTCCTCCTCCTCCTCCTCCTCTTCCTTCTCTTCCTCCTCTGGCAGCACCTGGGCCCTCTCTGAAGCAGAAATCCTGACCTAACTGCAGCCATTTTATTAAAGGAAGCTGCAGTCCTTCTGTTCTCTGTCCTGAACTCAGCTAAAGTATGACTTGTCATTAAATTGAAACTTCTGTGAGTGTGCCAAAAGCAACTTGCTACATACAACTATGCTCATTACAAAACACCCATTGTACCCTGGCCTTCAGCAAAAGCTTATCGTGTTCTTGTAACTTCTGTTTGCCAAGATATAAAAAGACCAAACTTTCTGTAAAACTCACCTCAGACTCTGGAGATTACTCCTCTGGGGTCTGCTAGTGTCAATAAAATTTCCTTTCTTCTCCTGAGCTCCTGGCTACTGTTGATTCAGGTTTCCCCACAACACCTCCTCTGTGATCTTGGGAGGTGGTGGTGGTGGTGGTGATCGGATGTCACCGGCCCCACAGGCTTTGCAGGCCGTGCAGGGGTCCTGCCGAGGTGGGAGCTTCACATGCCTGGAGGGTCTGATCGTCTGAGAGTCACTTGGAATTTTCCGTGGGTCCCAACACCATTTCTACCTCCAGGCCAATGCATTCTTTTTTACCCCTTTAAATAAAACTTTATTATAAAATAGGTCAACAGTTTAAAAAGCTTCATGTACAAGGAGGTCTCACTGTCACCATTGGCAGCCAAGTGGAAACTGAACCAGACCAACATGTTCTTTGATTTTATTGTTTGGTCTTTCTCTGACTTTCACATTTTTTTCTTATATTTTTAATCCTCCTGGTAAAAAAAAAATCAGTAGAGCAACTTAGAAAACAAGTACATTATTCATTTCTTCCTTGTTTTCTTTTCTTTTTGCCTTTTATTTTGTTTTGCTTTGCTTTGGTTTGTTTTGTTTTCTTGCAGTACTGGGAACTGAACTCAGGGCCTCAGACGAACAACACGCCCAACCCCCATCTCTTCTTTTATTTTGAGAAGCACCTCAAAAGGTTGCTGAATTGCTGTAATGGTTAATACATTGTGTCGACTTGAGAAGTTTAGAAGTTTAACTCCTCAAGGGGCAGGGGCCTCACTTTGTAAACATCTTGAGCTAAGGAAGGGGAGGGCAGGAGATGGTATGGGTGGAGAGCGGGCACACAACATAAGGGAGGAAGAGAGGATCATGCCCCACTCTCTTTTGCTCTTCCTGCTTTTGCTGTCTTCTGCCACCTTGAACTGTTGCCCCTCACCATGCCACCCTGCCTTGCAGCCAGCTGATTATGGACTGAGGTCTCTACAAACTGTGAGCTAAACAAACCTTTCCTCCCTTAATTCTCGGCGTCAGGTATTTTGTCTCAGCAAGGAGAGAAAAGTATCCAAGACAATTGCCAAGACTGGCCTCCAAGTGCCATGGGCCTGCCTCAGCCTCACACACTGCTGGGATTACAGATGTGCACCACACCACCACAGCAAGTAATTTATTTCAATATAACTTGTACGTGAAGAACTATCTTAAAATACTTCATTTAATTAAAATGAGAAGCAAGAAGGTACCAGATTTGTGTTTCTTTTGCTGTGCTTTGGTCCTGTGTCCTGATGTGTGCAGAATACCATGTGAGGTTACTTGTGCTTAGTCTGTGCCATATTAGCCATAAGAGGCACGTAAGTCATGATCAATGTATCAGTTATAACGAGAAGATGGGCAAGTCAGTTTTGATTGCAGGAGAAATTTTATCTGTCTTTATGGCTGAGTAGTACTCCATTGTAAAAAGTTTATCTTTCTTTATGGCTGAGTAGTACTCCATTGTAAAAAAAAAATCTTTTTTATCCCTTCTCCAGTCATGGGCATTTGGGTTGTTTCCAAGATTTCCAAAGTTATTTTCATCTTGGCTGGTGTTTTCTTTACTAATTTTTTATTGGTACATTTTCGATATACATAATGATCATATTCATCATTGGGAATTTGTACTTGTACATGATACATATTGATTCCTCTTCCTTCTCATTTCCTCCCCTCCCTTCAACCCCCCTCCCCTCATTTACAAAGTTTTGTTTCCATTTTATTCTTCTTTTCTCATTTTTCTTTTCCCTTCTTTCCTCCCCACTCTCTCCCTAGTTCCCCCTTCCTTTTGAGCATTTTCTTCCTATTTCACAATATCTATTATACATTTTGGTCCTTATTTACTTTTTTGTTTTTTTGCACCAGAGAAACAATGTCATACTTAAATGTGTCCAATTTATTTCACTTAAGAATATGGTCTGAAGGTCCATCCATTTAGCTATAAAAGTCTCAAGTTTATCCTTCTTTATGGCTGAGTAGTACTCCATTGTAAAAAAAAATCTTTTTTATCCCTCTTCAGTCAATGGGCATTTGGGTTGTTTCCAAGATTTACCCATTACAAAACTGTGTTGCTATAAACATGGATGTACACAAATCGCTGTGGTATGATACTTTTATTTCTTTAGAGAAGATACCAAGAAGGGGAATAACTGGGTCAAATGAGACTGCTAGTCCTAGTTTTTGAGGAAGCTCCACACTGATTTCCACAGTGGTTGCACCAGTCTACACTCCCATCAACAGTGGAAAAATGTCCTTTTTTCCCAATGATCCCTCCAGCACTTGTTGTTGGTTGATGTCTTGATGGTAGCCATTCTTTCTGGGGCAAGACGGAATCTCAGTGTTGTTTTAATTTGCATCTCTCTAAAGACCAGTGATGTTGAACATTTTTTCATGTATTTATTTGCCATTTTATTTGCCCATTTTTGAATTGGGTCTTTAAATTTTAGGGGGGCTGATTTTTTTCAGTTCTTTATATGTTCTAGATATTAAGACCTTTGTTGGGGGAAAAATTGGCTAAAATTTTTTCCCACACTGTGGGTTGTTTCTTAACTCTGTTGATTTCTTTTGCTGTGCAAAAGGTTTTTTAATAAGATGAGATTCCAGTTGTTGATTCTTTGTAATATATCCCATGCAATTTGGGTTTTGTTCATAAAATCTTTGCCTACAACTTATATCTTTAAGAGTTCCATCTATTCTCTCTTCCAGCAGATTTAGTGTTTGTGTTTTAATATTTGATCTTTGCTCTATTTTTATTTTAGTTTAGTGAATGGTGATAGACATGGGTCTAATTTTAGTCTTTGGCATATAGAAAGCCAATTTTTCCAGCACTATTTATTAAAGAGGCTATCTTTCTCTTTGAAAGTGTGAATGTGTTTGGCCTCTTCGTCAGAGAGAGATAAGGTGGCCAGTTGATTGTGTTTGGAGTTGTTTCTGCATCTTCTAATCTGTTCCATTGATCCTCAGGCCTGTTTTTGGATTATTTCTATTTTGGAGCTATTATATCCATAATACTGTCATGGACATTTGAATACCAAGTTTTTTGGGCACATATATTTTCATTTCTTTTTAGATAGGTATAAAATTATGGCATTTTATTTTTAAATTTTTAAATTTTTTTTTGTCTTTTTGAGACAGGGTCTCACTATGCAGTTCAGGCTGGCCTTGGGCTCACTTTGTACCCCAGGCTGGTCTCAAATGCACAACGATCCTCCTGCCTCAGCCTCTATGCAGTATTTTTCAAGTGCTGTGATTACAGGCATACGCCACCATGCCTGGCTTATCCTAGCCTTTTTACCATTGAATCACTCTGGCACCCTCATTGAAAAACTTGGTCATATATGTGTGAGTCTATTTCTGGATTCCTTATTCTTTTCCATTGACCTATATATCCATCTTTAGACCAATATCGTACTATCTTAATTACTGTATAACAAATATGGAAATTACTCACAGGAAGTGATCCAATGTTGTTTTACAAAACTATTTTTGCTAATCTAAGTTAGGGATGGGTGTCTTTGTAAATAAAATTTTCTTTACACATACCTATGCTTGTTCATTTATGTATTTTCTGTGGCTGTTTTTCTGAAATACAATGGTGAGATGAATATTTGCAACAGAGATTTGTGGACTGCAAGGGCTAAAATATTTATCATATGGCCATGTATAGAAAAAGTGCTCTGGCCCCTGGCCTAGGTCCTTTATGTTGTCATATAAAATTTGAAATTATCTTATCCATTTGTGGAAAATAAGCTTGCTAGGCTTTTCACAGAGGTTGTGTTGAATCTATGAATTAATTTGAAGGGAACTGCCATTTTAACAGTAAGTCTTCTGATCCATGAACATGGTATTTTCCTTCATTTATGTGGATCTTTAATTTCTCTCAGAAATTTTATAGGTGTCAATGAGCAGGTTGCACACTTTATTAAATTTATTCCTAAACATTTTATTCCTTTGATATTTGTTGTAAATAACATCTTAATTCTACAAGGTGCAAGTAAAATATGTTGACTGTTTAAATTTTTAAAAATTTATTACAGTAGAAAACACACTGTTTAATCCTCTCAAAATACTTTAATCCTCACAAAATACTCCCCTCACTTCAAACATCATGCTTGCCATTTTCTGAAGCAATTCTGGAAGTTTTGTTGTGTGAGGGCTGTTAGTTTCTGTCATGCCTACCTCAGTGTCCTGAATCAGTTCAAAACATTCACCTTTCATGATCATTTTGACTTTGTGGAAAGCCAGGAGTCACGTGGTACCAGTGCCATAAATAAGGTGGATGAGATGTGCCATAATGTTTTTAGTTGACAGAAACTTTCCCATAATCATTTGGTAATAAGCAATGATCAAACAATATGGTGAATGTTTAAAATATTATTACAGTAAAGGGCACATTGCTATTAATCTCCCTCAACATACTTCATGTTAGTTCAAAAACATGTCATTGCTCTTGGCAATGTATCCTTCAAGTAAATTTTTAAAAATTTAAACATCCACTGTATCATTCTATCACTCTTTGTATTTTCAGATCATTCACTGATATTATATGAAAATACAATGAATTTTTATCTTATGTCTTGTGGCTTTGTTAAACTCGGTAATTATTCTAGTAAGGTTTTGATGTTTCCTTAGGATATTTTTACATGCAAGATTATGTTATCTGCAAATAAAGACTTTTAGTTCTTTTCCAGTCTGTATGCCTTTATTTTTCTTGCTGTATCACACTGGCTAGCACCGCTAGAAAAATACTGCATAGAGTGGTGAGAGCAGACATCTTTGCCTTGGTCCCAATCTCAGAGAAAGCATTCAGTTAAGTTTAATGTCCCTGCATTGCAAGCTTTTTGTAAATGCCATCATCAGACTGAAAGAATTCTGCTATAACTAATTTTCTGAGTTCGTTCATAAATCATTTATGTTGGGTTTCAACATAATCATATGGCTTTTATTTGTTATTTTGTTGCTATGATATCTTGCAGTGATTCTCTGGAGAAATTTCTGTCGACTAGGGAGGAGGGCAAATCTGGTGAGTAGAGAGCATTCTGCTAAACATCTTTCAGTGTACAACAAATTATCTAACTTAAAGTATCAGTACTGCTGGTATTGGGAAAGCCTGGTGCATTGCATTATTGATTTCTAAATATTAAACCAAACCTGCACTCCTAGGATAAACTCCACTAGGTAATACTGGACAATCCCTTTTGGACACTGCTGAATTTGACTTGCTAGTCCTGAGCCAGGTGTGGTGCTGCACACCTGTAATCTCAGCACTAGGGAGCTGAGGCAAGAGGGTCACCTTGAGTTTGAGGCCAGCTCAGGCCACACAGTGAGTTCAAGACCAACCTGAACTACATAGCTATGTCCTAACAAACTACCCTTGCACCTTTGTTCATTAAGAATATTAGTCTGAAGTTTTATTTTCATGTGGTATCTTATTCTGGCTTTGAATCAGATCACTAATGGTCTCACAGAATAAGTAGAAAAGCATTTTTCCAAAAGACTTTGTGTGGGCTTGGTACTATTTTTAGAGTTTGACAGAATTTATCAGTACAGATAACTGATAAGCTGTTAAGTCCTGGGCCAGGACTTTTGCGAAGATATTAAGTTATAAATTCAATTTCTTTACTTGATTCAGGTTTTCTATTTCTTATCGAGGCAGTTTTGGTAAGAATTTGTCAACTTTATTAATCACTTTCAGATTTGCTGGCATAGTGTTCATAATACTCTTTCCAACTCTTCTAATTTTGATGGGTCAGTAGTGATGACCTCTTTCAGGCCACATTTTGATAACTGTGCAAACACTTCACCCCCACCCTTGGTCATTCTTGTAACCATTGTTCATTATTTTGTTGGTCTTTTCAAAAAGTGAACTACGGCTTTTTAAATTTTTAAATTATTTTCCTGTTATTTGCTTCATGTATTTCAACTGTGATCTTTATTTCCTTCCTTCTGCTTACTTCCAGGTGCATGTGCTTTTTTTGGCTAGATTTTTTTTTTTAAGTTTAGAGTATTTTTAGATACTTCCTGTTTAAAGTTACACATTTCTGAACACTACATCACTGCATCTCATAGATTTTGATATATTGTGTTCATATACATTCAAACTATTTTCTGATTTCTCTTACAATTTCTTTCTGGCCCATGGATTATTTATTAATTGTTTAATTTCTAAATATTAGGGATCTCCCAGCTTTGATCTCTAATTCTCTCATATTCAAGAGAACACACTTTCGATGACTCAAATCCACTTCCATTTAAACCTTGTTTATGGCACAGAATATATCTATCTTGCAAATATATACACATGAATAGAATATTTATCCTGCTTTGGGTGAAATGACCTACAAGTTTAAATTAGATAAAGGTGGTTGATAGAGGTTTCAAGTCATACTGATGTTTTGGTTTATACTACCAGTTATTGAGATGGGTGGTGAAATCACAGTAATGATGGATTTGCCTATATTTGCAGTCCTAACGGGGATCCTCTTCAACTAACTTTACCATTATTGACCACCTTTAGCAGATGGATTGCTCTGAAATCTATCTGAAATACATATGAACATTCCAATTTTCTTTTGATTAGTGTTAAGATGGTACATATTCATTGTACTGATTTTCTATTGCTGCATAACAAATTATCCAAAAATTTAGTGGCTCAAAACAGCACACATGAATTTGAAGTTTCTGAAGTAGCTAGACACAGCTTGGTTGAGTTCTCTGTTTCTCTCTCAGGCTGCAGGCAAGTTGTTGGCTGGGCACTGGCCATCTCAAGGCCCAGCTAAAGGCGGCTCCATTCCAAGAGCACATGCTTATTGGCAGCACTAAGTTCCTAGCAGGTTATAGTACTGACAGCCTGAGTTCTTTGCTAGCTTTTGGATAAAGCTGGCCTTAGGGACTAGCTACATGGGATATATTCCATCATTGTCAGCTTCTTTCAAGGGATGCAAACAGAAAAGTCAGTAGTGTGCTAGCAAGACAGGGATCATAATCTAATTTAACCGACGTATAGAAGTGACACCTCACCAGCTTCTCTGTGTTCTATTGGCTAGGAGTACATCCCTACGTCTAACTCACACACAAGGGCAGACTACCAGAAGGCAGGAATCACTGGAGACTGTGTCTCATCTCCCCCTGGAATTTTAGGTTACTACAGGATCCTTCTGAGAATATCCATTTTCCTGCCCTTGTTATGAAATTGAGAAGTTCCTCTGTTCTGTGGGGTTCCACCATACGTTGTTTACCCACTTGCCTGTCTATGGGTGGGGAGGGAAGAAAATAAATATATGCAAACTGTCATCCTAAATGGAATTCATTTTTTTTTTTTTTGATTTCCACTTAAGAGTTTTGATGTCAACATGTATCAAAGGCTGATATGACAGATACATAAGAACCTCTTAACTTACATTGGGCAGGTATAGCATTTCCCAATATACAGATAAGGAAACAGACTCAGAGAAGTAGTTCTTCAGTGAAGCTGGAAATCATCTACTTCAAGGTAGAAAGGCAACTATTTTGCATATACGCAAACCAAATGACAAGAACTCTTTTGGCAAGGGTTGAAGAGCCAACATGTTTTAGTACATGTGCTGCTGAAGTGAGCACGAAGAGCCAACATGTTAACAGCAGTAGTCCTGGGGTAAGGACCTTAAATTAAATCTTGTCAAATAAGGAGGTGTTTGGATTAGAAAGCTAGATAGAACCTTGAAGAGATAACCTTCTACGGTAGTATTATTCAGAATTTTAGTAGCTGTTAGAAATTATACCATATATATTTAAATAAGATTAAATTATGCAAAATAAAAATTTAACCTTTCTTAAGCCAAAGACATTTGGAACATTAAAGCAGTCTGAAACATTCAAGAAGGATCATGTAAGAAGTTATACTGTAAAGACCTAGTCCCTTATTACTAGTTATTTTAACTCTGGTAATGACAGTGGGAAACACTTTAAGCCAACCATCATTTCTGGCCTTCGCTGTTTTTTTCTTAAGGGTACAGTGCGTAGGTGAGCAGAAAGGGGCTGATAAAGCCACACGGCCTTTTACACACACTCGGACACTATATTCCTTCTTACTAAGATACGGTGCTGCAAAACACCCCTCCACTAAGGCAGGTATCTAGTTATGATGGAGATGACAGTTGGGCCCCCATGGTGGTACACATCTGCAATCCTAGCACTCTGGTAGGCAGGCAGAAGGGTCACAAGTTTGAGTCCTGCCTGAGCAATTTAACACAGGGAGACTGTCTCAAGAGCTCAGATCCTAGGCTAGTGCTAAAAAAAAAAAAAAGAAGGGAAAGTTGGGGTGAGTTACATGTGACCTGTTTTCCTAACAGAAAGCATTTTGTGTACTCCCATAAACCAGCTACTGAATTTATATTTTCCTATTAGCAAGTTTCTCAAACTTGACACTTGAATTCTTTATTAATTTATTATCTTCTTATACATGATGTAATCTATAATAAATGTCTAAATTAAAAATCACACATTTTAGTTTTTGTTTCTTATGTTTCTTGTAGTCAGAATGTACTTTTATTTTGGAAAAGCATACAAAAAGAAAAATCCTGCTTAAGAGTTCTAAGATCATTCTTTTTGAGTGGATCTTGGTGTCCCCCATACTACTAGCTAGCAGTTATTAATACTTATGGCTATTATTCTTTTGATAACTAGAGGGAACATTAATATAAAATTATCATATATTAATATAAATTTAGTGACTAAACGATACTTTTAACCAATATTTTTTTGAAAGAATAATGATATCACACTCTTAGTCTGCTTCCTACAACCTATTCCTAAAAGAAATATAGGCCCATATTAAGACAGAATATTACTTTCTTTGACCTTTATATTTTACTTGCTTATTAAGAACAAGTTTTGATCGTAACTTATCTTCATCCATAGTACAATGGAATTAAATCATATAGAAAAAATGTTTTTCCATTAATTTTACCAGGTGCATCAACAATGTGATTTATTTTCAGTTATGTAATAAAAACACTTTGGTGTAGATTATTTCAAAAATGATTAACCTCAGAATGAAAGTGGTCATTAAAAGATTTCTAGGTTTGGCTTTTTATAAAAATCAATAGAATTTCACAGTGAAGAGGTCCTAAATTCCTCATACAACATGAAATTATATAAAAATAGAAGACATAGACATCTTTAAATCTTTAATCCTTTGATTAAGCAGCAAGCATATCACTCTTCCAGGCCAAACACTGCTTAAACAAAAAAGAAAATAATGACGTGCAAAATATTTACAAAATATGCAAAGCACACAATAAAGACATCTCACTATATACATGTCATATTACTAATGAAGCTAAAACATCTACTGTGTGCTCTAATGCATGTAAATAAAATTACAGCACATCCCTTAGATACAGCACCATGGCCCATGTCTGGGGTAGAACAGACTTTAAGTGACTCACAATGTACTGAACAGCTGGACAGATGCTGGTGCTGACCAACTTGACGGGCACATCTCACATGCCAGGTACTGGAGGCCCACTGACGAGACAAGACAATGAAAGCTGTCAAGGTATAGAATGCACATGTGCAAGACAGTCTAAGTGCTTTAAAAAATCTAGATATTTTCTTTTTATATAACTCTCCCATGGCTTCTAAAGTAAAATTAAGTATACATTTTTTAATGTCAACAATTTTAAATCAGTTAAATTTTATCTGATTATAATCCAGGGCAGGAACTATTTATGATCCAATGAGAAAGAAAAGGCCCTATCCTGCAAAGTGTTTTCAGTTATGTAGCATCCTAAACTTGAATATTAAAACTCATGTATGAATTTAGATCTACATCCCTTTCAGGCTGTAGAGCCAATGGAAGGGACTGTTTTCCCAATACCTTAGGAATACAAGACCTCTCAGAACTGACACTGGGCCCTTTGATGGCGACTATTTGGTGAAGGGGTCTTAAATAGGATGAGAATGTCCATGTGCAAACATTTAGCCCATGTTCCACTAGCACAGCAAGGTGATCTAACTGTCCCTCGGCACAGTCCTGATTCCAATATGAAATCATCAGATCAAAAGTATCAGGGACACATTGTTGAAATACTATCACTTGGAAATACTTCTCACAGGTGTGTTAATGATTATGTATTGAATCAAGAAGACTTGAAGTATTTTTTTTTTTAGTTAACAGCATAATTGTGACAATATACTGACACATTTTTAGATAATGCAGAACAAAATCTTAAATTCATTTTATGAAATAATGTTGATTTAACCCTAAATCAAACCCTTGAGTACAGGTTGGTTGCAAGGAATACATAAATGTATCTGACTAGTACAATAGAGATTTACCAAAATACCCTTCATATTAAATGTAGACTATATTAATAAGTATGAAGGCAATTTTAAGTCCAGAACCTAAACACAAAAAGGGGTATTGTAAAGGTTTCTATAACCACCATCTCTACATATTTGACCAAATGTAATTCTCTTCTAAAGTCTCCAAATGTAGGCAGCTACTAGCAACAGCAAATAGCATTTAGAAACATAAATTTTTTTTTTAGAATTAACTACATTGCAAGGAACTTAAAGATCTATTTCAGCAAATTAAGTCCTCATTTGTAAAATTATTATCCAATCCTCTTATACTACAGATGACAGGGTCAATGACCTTTAAATAAGGACTTTGTATTAGGACCCTAAACTGTGTGTTAAAGGGTTAGTAGGTTCAGTACATTCTTTGTGGTTTCATATAATTGCTTTGCAATTGATTAAAAGTGCTTTCTTTTAAAGGAACATATTTAAATTCCTTTAGAAAAAAAGCAACATATTTTGAAAAAAGGGATATGGAGCTATAATTTTTTAAATATGAATACAGTGAACATATATAATCTGAAATGCAGGCTATTTATTCTTGCACTCCTAACATAGGAAATTTTTTTAATTAAATAAAAAAGTCCAAACATCCTTAACTTAAAAAACTTAAGGAGTTTTCACAATTTCTAAGTCAATAATCCTGTACTAAGAGCCTTGACTATGAAGAGGCAGGAATATAAAGCAGCTCAATAAAATAAATATAGTAAAAACAAAAATCCTCTTGGTATATAGAATACTTAAATCTTTTTTTTTTCTTTCATGAGATCATATTGGTAAACACATATTCTAAAAAGGAGGGTAACCTGGAAGCTTTTTGTTGTGTAACATTTTAGTTTTGAGAACTGAAAAAATTCTTAAGACATCCACTTAATGTTAGTCCACTGCCACAGAATTATTTTGCAGCCTCAGAATCTAGGAAGGATTTTGTTTTCCTTTTTTGCATCAGTCAGATGAGCACTGGTATGATGGGGTGGAAAGTTACTGCAGCGTAGTCCAACTTAGTTTTAGTGCAGTGAGGACTGTGAATCTGTCTGAATTCCGATTAGTGATGGTGGCTGCTGACCACCAACCGTGGACAACACTGGTCTTGGGTTTAGACGGGGTGGCATGGAATTAGCAGGGCGAATGAGAGGTGGTGGAGGCTGATTTAGAGTTGGCCGGGGCTGGATGAACCGAGCCTGCTGCTGCAGAGGAGGAGGCTGCCGGTGAAGAGCAGGGGCAGCAGGCAGTGTTGGACGAAGCAGTGGCGGAGGCTGGTTCAGAGTGGCAATGGGGGCTGTTGGTGTTGGAGTGGATGATGGGGCAGGAGGTGATGGACCCAGAGTCCGAGGAGTCTGTGGGGTCTGTGCCTAGAGGTGAGGAAACAAAAATACATGCATGAGATGTTAAGTCCTAATGAGCTGAACACAATATAGTTTGGGCTGTCACAGGAAAAACAAAACAAACCGAAACAAAACAAAAACATAACACCAGTGTTTATTGGAAGCGCAAGCTTCTTTTATTTTAAACAAAACAAAACAAAAAACAAAAAAACCCAAAAAAGCAATGAGGCTACCAAACAGGCATCTTTATTAGTAAACAGCTTAACACTGGAAATAAAAATAAGACTATGGAAGAACAATACACTCTCCATTCTGCTAGGACCAGAAATTAGCATGTCTTTATGACTCAGCAGTCATGAGAGGTGCACCACTGGGTAAGTGTATTGTCAACCTTTCATGCTCGTTTAGCTAGTCCTCCAACATCTTAGCCTTACAGCACACCACACAAAAGGGTGACTCCTCAACTCATATTAGCTCAAATTCCAGACACAAACACACCTCCTCTTCTTCATCAGTGCTCTTCCCTGATGGCACATTAGAAGCACTTTTTGTCTCCTCCCCTAAAGTAGAAGCATCACCATTAGAAGCCTGGGTTCCTTGTTCTGCTTCCCACTCCTGCAATACCTCCTCTAAGTTAAACCGACGCCTGTAGTTTACAAAGAAGTTCTTCACTTGGCCAACAGTCTTGTTGCCAATTACATCTGCAATAGCTTGAAAATCTTTACCATATTTGCGGACACCTGGAAGGCAAAGTAAATAATACACCCGTGAAGGATCAGTAAGGAGAGCTGTGTGTACTCAACATCATGCACACACACAGACACCAGCAATGAAAATCCGTTCTGAAAAACTCTTCTCAGTTCTCAGTTTTGAGATACAGGCTAGGTATCAGGGTCATACATGACAACTACCAATTATGTCAATTCACTAAGCCAGCCACTTGGCTTCAACTAACAATCAGAAACTTACCATGTTTTACATACTCAGTTATTTTCTCCAATTCTCTCTTCAACTCTCACATACAGTCCATTTATTGTAAAGCACTGAATTCTTTGTTCCATCCTCAATTCCACACTCATTTATTTCCCTAGTAGCCAGTCACCTAAATTTGAGCAACACCATTTGTAAACAAAGCTGGATGGGAATGAGCCATCTTTTATCACCTCAGTGGACTGAGTGAGTAGCTGCAGATTTCCCTCTTAATATTAAGACAACATTGCATTTTAGTCTTAATACTAATTTCAAGGAGATTATTTGCCTATATCCCATCATGGTGCCAACAAATAGAAATGAATTAAAATGTCAAAGAATGATCACAATCTGATAGATTAAGAGAAGGATATTTTTGCCAAGTCGGCTGCAGGTTAGCTAGTGCAGTAGTTCTTGACTATGTTTAGGAAGTTCTCCTAGCCATGTGTTACAGCCTAGAGAACACGGTGAGGATGGCACTGACTATTTAAGAAGGGCTCTGCACTGGTATTTCAGGGCTTAGCTTTTCACCAACGAAGTTTCATTACAATCAAGGACAGTAACTGACTTATGGATCTGAGATTACCAAGTATGCCACAGAATTTAAAATGAATAATTTGTATTTAAAGGAATTATACTTTGTGCTTAGCTCAAAATATAAAACTTGTCAAAAATTATCATTTTTCACTTTGTAACTGCTTTTTAAAATACCAGAAAATAATTCAGTAAAGAGATGAAAACAAAAACCAAAACAGGGGGTTTGCACCCAATATATATATAATTACAGGTGATAAACAAATGAGGACATATTAACACCCCAGAAAAAATGCTATATTCTTAGTGATACCAATATGAAATACTCAACTAACTGCAAACAACATAATGTGACATGACTTTACTTTAAAGTTATGCCCTTATTTTACTTTTGAGAGTTGGGTACCAGCATCTCTGGCTACATTTAACTAGCAGGGGCTGACCTACAGGAGTCCTTTACTTCACGGCACTGAGGATAGGAAGTCTGACATTATTATGTTCTATATTATATCCAATTCTAAATGGAGAATTTAGGATTAGTAACCTATGCTCATTTGTTCCATTCTCAAAGGAAAGACAGATTACATGACAGCAAAGTAAAAATGACATACATTGTTTACAATGTTTTAGCAACATAAATAGCTAGTCCCTTTAAATCCATGGGCTGATTTACAGTTTGAATTTCACAGCTGAGATGAATTCTAATAGTGACTACATTCCACTAAGGTTTATTTGGTAATAAAAACCCCAGGTTACCTCAGTAATAGCTACTGTTAAGATATTCAAGGGCTTCCCCACTACTGACGCTTTAGAAAACAGTAGCTTATAAAAAAATGAGTTCTATGCCACTGCTAAATATGAAGCAGCTATACTGAAAATTAACTCCTGATAACAAACCACAGTGTTTATCAAGTGTGGTGATTGTCATAAGGGATACTTACTTTAATTCTAGAAATAGCAAAACCTGAGTATTTAAGTTTAGAAAATTTTAAATAAGCCTAGGTTTGGATCTTTCCTATTCCTAACAAGTAACATTAAGACTCTGACTCCCAGTCTGAAGACAGAATCCATAATACCTGTATATTTTGCAAACTACATCCCCCAAACTGCATAATAAATTCTGAAATTACCTCCAAGACTGCTTCCATTATATAACTTCCTGAATCTAATCCTTTTGATGTTTCTCAATTCTTTCTTCCTCAGTGGATTTTTTACCTTGTTACTAATGCTGTCACATTTGCAAAATTAGACTCTAAACTCATACTACTTCCCATAAGGGCTTTAGATTTTCTGAAGACTCTGGATGGCAAGGCCTTCTGCCAAGTCAGTCATGTTGATTATTAACTCATGTAAGCTAGTCTAGTCTCAAGGCTCACAGCGTCCTGCAGACCTCTGTAGTTTCAATGAGGATCCCAGTCTGTCCTGAGAACCTATGTGCCCAGATCCGAATCCCCTCAGCCTGCAGGATGACTGGACAGGGTTTATAATAGCTGGAGCGCCTTGCAGCTGCCTCTGGACTGAAGCAGCCTCATCTGCCTGCCCCAATGTGTTAATTTTTCCACTAAGTTTTATGTTTTCTGTATACCATAAAGTACTATCCTGTGGAATGCACAGGAGCACCAGAAATACCACGCGAAGTTTGCAAAAAGTGCTCAGGAAGTATGATCCCCCCACCTAAGGTTTAACTCTAGTTTTCTTCTACAAAACACAGGAGGCATACAGAGTAGACTTCATCATGCTCACTCTCTAGTGACACTGCTCAACAACATGTTTTGGCTACAAGATCAAATTCTTAAGCTCTATGGTCAGCAACTAGGCAAACTCTAGTGAAATGTCAACTCAATTTTCACAACTGCACCTTCAAAAGAATCCCCAACTAGGCTTTTGGGACAACCTAGCAGGGCCAGTGACAAGGAGTCATCAGCTTGGCAAGCTTAGTAAGTTATGTCATAGGAGCTTCTGTACACGGTGCGTATTCTTTTTTCATAATTTGTAAGCAAACCAGATTGCATTCTCAGCAAGGGAATTAAATATGACAAGTCAATCTTTGTACTTGGTAAAGTTTTACCCCTTAGGCAAAACAAAGTCAGTTTTCAAGGATTAAGTGAATGTTTGGAGAACCCCGGAAGAGGCAAACTGTAAATTTTTCAGGAAGGATAAAAACTATTTTTGTCAAATTTCTTGACTTGACTTGAAAGTTATCATAAAACAAATTGGCTTGCTATGCTGGGAGGTATCTTATGATATTCAATATATATTTTTAAAGTTTTGTTTGCAAAATTAAAATTTAATTTACTAGGATATTCTGCCCATTTTCCAAACAGTATTGTGTTACCCAATGTAAAAAAGTATTCATATCCTTTTCATATTTCTTACGAATACATCTAATTTGCTAAAGAAGGTATTCTTATTAATAGTACTGGCTTTATCATAGTCACTGTCTGAATTATCCCAAACTGAATTAGTTGAGTTTGTCCATTTGTATTTTTTGAATTTTGGTAACTTCAGGTGACTTTCTCAATCTAGACATGAAATTAGAATTTGCTTTTTTAGCTAAAAGGGACAGCATGGATAACTGCTTATGGTATATCTAAAAATTTATTTTTAAATTCTGATTTTGGACAATCAGAAAAGCAAAGTGTTTCTGGCTTAGAAAATTTCAGGAGATATTTTCCTTGCTCCCTTTTTTAAAAATGGCAGTGGGAACTGAACCCACTGCCATTTTTACACTCTCAGTTACACTCTCAGCCCTTTTTAATTTTTAAAAATTAAAAAAAAAGTTTTTTGAAACAGGTCAATTTAAATTGCTACACTGACCATGTAGGGCTTGAATGCGAGCTCTTCTGGCCCTCAGAGGTGCTGAAATTACATGTTTTCTAATTCTCAAAGTGAGCATGTACTTAACTGAAAAATATAAAATTATCAAAAATCTATTTTTGAAATAATACCAAAGGAAGTTCTAGACTCTTTTGGGATGATTCTTTTCAGTCAACAAGACATAAACTCAGATCATTTGCAAATGTGTATTTATTTCTACCACCTGTAAATCTATTCATAAACTCAACATTAAACAAGGAAGAAAACATATCAACAGAACAACAACTGGTGCATATAAGTGAGGGATAAAAGTTGAAACCACGTATTTTCTTTCCAATCTCTTCTGGGTGTTACATTTCCATTCTCTTTGTTGTACATTAAATTCTATTACAAAAATGCTAAAAAATTTGACTCATCAATTATTTGAAGGAAGCACATTAATGAGGGCTGACAGGTATTTTGGGATCTCCATTCTTATGGCATCTGTTGCCTTTCGGATGCAAAAGCGTGAATCTCCCATTTTCATTTCCTTTGCTCACTCCTGTACAGATTTACTATCCTTACATTTTTATCAACCGTCTAATCACTGTATCCTCCTACTTTATGGACCATTCTAGCCTCGTAAAGTATGAGACAATCAGAAAGCAATTTCTAGATTAGCAATTTCATTTCTCTTAAAAAGGATCAAATGCATGACGACTTACAAGGTAGCTTTTAATGTAAGCATAACAACTTGAACATGGCGGGAAACATGCAGAAAGAACTAAAAATTAAAATTGAGATCCTGACAAAACTGGAAAAACTTTTATCCTAAAATAGCATGAAGATTTTAATTGGGAAGCAGTTTTTATAGCACCAAGATTAATAGATGAGTATATTTTAAAAAAGGAAAAAAGAAGAAAAAAAAATATTTTAGGTAGTGGTCTAAAACAAAAACGGCACCAGGCACAGTGGCGCACGCCTATAATCCCAGCACTTGGGAGGCTCAGGCAGGAGGATCGTTTTTAGTTCAAGACCAGCCTTGGCTACAAAGTGAGGTGAAGGCCAGCCTGAACTGCATAGTGAGACCCTGTCTAAAAAAGACAAAAATAAAGAAATAAATATGGCATATCCTACATACCATGCTTCTGTCTCCTCCACACTTTGAAGAATGTTTTATATATCATTTAAATGTATTATTTTCTGAAAACAGCTAATTATTGTTCCATTTTACATAAGACATACCTAGAATCTCATTTCTTTTTCAATTTTTGCTCAAAAGAATTTTTATCATATGAGTATTAACTTAGGATAATTTCTAAAAGCATAAATTAGAACATTTATATATATGACACAAGCTAGAAACAGGGATATTTTACCATTAACACAAATATGAGAAGATCATGACTGGTCTCACTGTGAATCAATGTATTTAAAATATAAAATTTAGATACTTAAGGCTAGAACAGATGACAAATTATATAAGAACAGTTCTTGGCAAATATTTTAAGTGGCCTAAATTAGCAGCATGATGATACCCAGCTTGGGGACTTCTGAAGAAGGTTACTGAAACTGTAACACAGGTAAACTAGAATGAACATAATAAAGTACAAAAGTACAAACATATTCCTCATGGATGAGAACATGACTCCCATGACTCTCCATCAAGGGAGAAAGAAAGGAAAACTTACACAAACGGTTAGCATTTAATTAACAATAATGTGAATAGGTCAGGTAGCAAACTGAGTGGGAAATATGTATTTACGAACTAGCAAAGAAAATGATCTTTTTTTTTTTGGTCTTTTTGAGACGGGTCTCGTTATGCAGCTCAAGCTGGCCTTGAGCTCACTTTGTAGCCCACTCAAACTTGCAAAGATCCTCCTGCCTCAGCCTCCCGAATGCTGAGATTAGAGGCATGTGCCACCACACCTGGGAAGAAAGTGCTCTTGATGTTTGGTTTTTAAAAAGTTACAACAAAAAAGTTTGTATAATAGAATCATAAATTTTAACAGTAGCACTAGTGTTATTATTTCTTTTTCCAGGTCACTGTGATAGTATACTGTGAGCAAGATATTTATAAAGCATTTTACAAAATGAGTGTCAAATCAGATACATGTAAAAACTGTCTTGAATATAAAGTGCTATACAAAGTAAAACATTAGTATCAAAACAAATTACTCTGTAAAACTGTAATTGTCATCAGAATAACACCACATGAAGATATATCATAAACATTAAAGAAGAAAAAAAGTAGCTTTTAAATAGCTTCTAATAGCAAACTACACATACTAAAATAGATACTTTATATATTTTAGCCACTGAGACTCAGGTGCAGGTGACATTACCATATGATTATACCCTTTGTAAGACATCATTTTGGGGTATTGTATAAATGTATGAGCACATAAAACAAAATGGTACTTTTTAATCTTTTCTAAAGTAACTATTTAGACACAAATTCCTTTATGTTGATTTATTTTATGTAATAACAAAAATCAAAAATTTCAAAAGGAAAACTAAAGTTCCAAAGTAAAAATAAGTAAAAACATGACCTTAACACAGTAAAAAAGTCCCTCTAGGGGGACTCTAGGATCCTAAGAGCCGCAGAGTTCCATACAAACTGCTGTATTAACTGATTTAAAAGAGTACTACTGATTTAGGGGCTGGGGATTTAGATCAGTGGCTCAGTGCCTGCCTGGCAAGCATCAGGTTGTGAGTTCGAGTCCCAGTACCAGAAGAAAAAACAAACAAACAAAAAAAGAGTACTACTGATTTAAGAGTACTTTTTAAATGTGAATAGAGTACTGAGTATGTCTGGATAGAGGAAATGTTTGATTACATGCATCAATACTCTAGTATTTTTAAGCCATGTCCACATATACAACTCAAGCTGTATCTTAGCCTGCCCTTCCCGAATGCAGTTTTGCATGTCCAGCCCTGCTGTAAGATTCAGTGGACCCTAAGAGAGACAACAGTGCTATAGAATAGTGTGGAACTCTGAATGTCATGTAGGGAAATATTAGCTTATGTCTTTCTAGGAAATCCTCTTCAGAAAACCTTTCTATCACGACAATTTCTTGTATTACAGTACAGAATTAATGCACTAACACTTATGCAACCTAACACTAGAAGGCAGAGTTCAATTCTCATCATACAATATACTAAAACAGGAGAAACTCAGGCTTTACATGAATAAAAGGAATGCCTACTCACACTAATTATGCTAAAGCTGTAAGTCTTGGTTCTAAACGAATATGAAACACTCACTGCGAATGCTAATTTTTAAACAAAAATTTGAATTATCAGAGTCTAATATCAAAGCAGCTAATGTTGAACATCATAACTACACCTTTTTCTGATTCATTCAGAAACTTAGATCTATAAGGATGGCTATGCTCAAGGAGCACCCGGGATCTAGCCTTCATAGGACCCCCCAGTTCTTCTCTACAAAAAGGCTGTCAGGCTGGATGGCCAAATGGAAGGCAGACATCCTACTGATACCATCCTCTGACATTTTCAAATCATGTTGACTGGCTAATTCTTACTCCCTCTGAACTCTAGAATCATGTATGAGTCAATCTTTAATTGTATTATTCTCTTCTCTGAATGTTGCTTGGGTGGAATATATAAAATATATTCTTTGATGAGTATTTGTAAAGATTTTAAAAGGTGTGCTTGTATGCTTCACTGGGGTCCCTCTCTCATAGCAGTTAACATAGACACAAACCTCTAAGTACTCAATGCAAAGAGGATTCACCCAAGAAGAAATAAAATGTGGACACACTTTAAATTACACAATCATTGCTGTAAACAGTTTATCCTGAAGAGGAAAGAAAAATCCATAGTACTCAATCAAAATATACATTTGACCTAAAGTAATTCAAACATGAGAAAATCCAACTTTGTACTTCCAATTTGCCCATGAGTATTCTCATAAGATAAAATCTTTTGCCATACAGCTCAACAATGTATTCTTATAAATAATGCATTAAAATTTTGTATGTGTATTTTTGTTGTCTCTTTTAAATAATATAAAAAGTTAGAGGTACTTCTCTTAAGGCATGATACACTGAAAGGTAAGCAAATTTGTTAATATTTTCAGTACCTGACACTTAAAAAAATAGAGAAACACTATTACACAGAGTAATCAGAAAAACAAAAAACATACTATATGTCATTTTCTGTTCTTCATTATGAGTCACCACTGAGTGACACAGTTAAGAAAGAGTCCAATGGCCAGAGCACTGCAGCAGGGTTGGTCACACCTGTCTTACACCAATTACTTCGTGCTGGGAGGCATCGGTCAGTTCTGGACCCAAAATGCACAGACTCAGTGTGTCATACCCACAAACACAACACAGAACTCCTGGTCACCGGGTCTGAGTGGTGAACACAAGACCCCTTTCTCGATCCACTTCTGAAGAAAGGGCAGGAAGAACTATGGTAGTCACCTTTCATGACAAGTAAAATAATTATGAACAACAGTAACTGCTTATCTTTAATATACCTTGCACTGCTAGAAGCTGCTCCTCTGTGGTCCAACGGGCATTAATTTTCTGATTTGACTACAAAATTAAAGAGAAGTTTCCTAATGAGGATATGAAGACAGACATTTTTTCAAAGTGCTTATTTTTAAAAAACTTTTAACCAAATCACAGACATTAGTTTACTAAAAGATTTAAGAAGATTTCATTTTTAGAAGGATTAAAAATATATATTCAGAGTTACGTCTTTCCTACACAGGAAGGTAATGAAAGGGAAATTATCAATTTGGGAGAATGAACATTTATGCTTTAAATCTGAGATATTAAAAGTTGAGAAAACCTACTACAGTAGTCACCCATTTTCTGATTATAATGTTCCTATCACACAGTACAGATATTACTTTTAGTTTAGTTGTAACATTTAAAAGACTTTATTCTTAGGGTCTATGACTCCAACATTTCTTCTGTTCACATTTAAACTTATCCTTTCTCACCCTAAAACTGTTACAAATTAGCAAAGAGCATAGAATTGACCTGAGTCCTAAAACATTTCTTTAAAGCAGAAAGTAACCCACTGATAATAGACAATAATGGATGTTTTTTTCTCCCAAGACCTCCCAATATTCTTCCCAATTTTGTGGGGGTCAAAACTTATAAATTTAAAGGGCTGGGGATATAGCTCAGTGGCACAAGTGTCTGTCTGCAAGCACAAGGTCCTGAGTTCAATTCCCAGTACAAAAAACAAAAAACAAACCTTCATAAATTTAGGATTTTTATTATGGTAGTATTACAATATAAAACACTTAAGCAGATTCATTAGTTTACATCCACTGATAGTAAAGCAAGCTGCTATGGCCAGAGATGGAGGAACAGAAATACAGCAGCTTGCAGAGACTGCAGGAGGAACTGCGGAAACAAGGGGACTTGCGGTGACACCTGTTTTGTGGAGCAAACAGGAAGGTGGTTTCCTCCAGAAAGGGCTGCTTAGTTCCCACCCTACACACACTCTCAGTGGCAACAGCTTCTACAGTGCACAGTACAGAGGTAAAATTTAGAAGGAAGAGTGAAACAGAAATTCAAAGCTAAAAGACAAAACTTCTTAGAGGAGAAAGAGAAAAGTATTGAGAAAAGGAAAAAGAAAAATAAGGCCTAGAGTAAGAAGGAAAAACCTAGAAAAGTAATGACTGACTTTCAGAGATTAAACATGGACGAGGCAGGTCAGACAGTAATAAGGATACCTAACAGTAAAAACAAAAAGTGAAACAGAAGGGATTAAAAAACCCTGAGACACATATGGAAGGAATAATAAAGCTGTAAACCAAAGCTTAAAAAATGAAAACAAATGAAAAGAAAAAAGTGATACTCCTAAAAAGGAGATTAACAAAAATAAAGTAGGAGCTATTGATTACATATCCGTAGGTAACCTGATGCTACCCTGGTCATGAAAAGTATTTAAAAGAAGTCCTCAAACTGCTGTCATCTCAGGGACTGAGGCAAGAGGATCCCAAACTTGAGCCTAGCCTGGGCAACTTATCAAGAGCATGTCTCAAAAATAAAAAAAACCTGAGGAGGTAGTTCAGCATAAAGGCCCTGGTTAGAGCCCCAGTGTGTGCTTGTGTGTGTGTCTGTGTGTGCGCATGTGGGCATGTGTGTCTGTCCTTGCTGTCTACTGTTAATTGGTACTGGAACCTTTTTACGACAGGTCTAAGTATTTCACAGTAAATCATGACAAAAAGTGTTGATTGTAACTCAATCTGATACATGAAAATAAAGCTTACAGAAATGGTTCATTATTAAAAATACCTAATTTAATTAATATGCTTTTAAAAGATGCTTTACTTTTGGCTTTGAAATTCACAAAATGGGTTACATTTAGGATTTCAATAATTAATGCCTTTCTTAATTCTTCATTACTGAAATTATTCTTTTTTGGAAGTGCCTGTCTGAGTCATCCTTTATTCTTCAACTGTTAATTTTCTGGATATTCATATGTTAGCAACTTTGTGGGTGGCTGAAGTGATTTTCTTGCACTTTAACACATTTCATAAAGGTTTTCATCTTTGAAAAGTTTGCAATGTTGTTTTGGTTTGTGTTGCATTCACACTGTTAATGAGAGTGACAGACAAGGGTGCTGATGAGATGGATGGGACAGGTCACAGCCAAACTCAAGAGGGGAGAGTGTTGTTTTGGGCAACTTTTGCTTTTCCACATATTCCTTAGACTAATGAGAATTTAGATGCTATACATATAATACAAGCTGCTGTGAAGACTGAATATACCAAAGTAGGAGGATATATTCAGAATATATGTAAGAAAACATCTAGCAGTGCCTGAGCCAATCTCCAAGGCAGAAACTAGAGGGAAAAACAGCATAAAGAACAAACTAAAGAGAAATAATGTAACCATTAAAAATTGCTTTCATCTACACTTCGTAAAACTTATGAAAACATCAGATTAGATAAACACAAGAAACAATTTATAAAAATTAAAAGTGCAGAATATAATGGGGAATGCAAAGATGGGAGAAAAAGTCACAGTGATTAGTGTGTGTAGGGGAGAACAAGGGAAAACTGGAAGCGCTGGAGATTGTGAAGGATTTTAGAACAGAAGTTTCTGGAAGGCAAAGAAAAGGTATCCTATGTATAAGGAATAGCAGGATGTATGTCAGGAAAAGGTGTCAAATAAGCCTGGAAGGTTGCTGGTGCTTAAAGTAGGATAAGACCCATGGTCAAGGGCTGAGGATACAGCTCAGTGTCTGTTCAGCAAGTGCACAAGGTCTTCAGTTTGATTCCTGGTACCAAAAATAAAAACTAAACCAAAACAAACCAACTCACAGTGAAAGGAAAGAGAGTAAAAACTAAGGTTGATAAGCTCACACTAAATTTAACCAGCGAAAGGTTGCTCTTGTTATTGGGGGGTGAGAGCGTGTGTGCATGAAACTGGCATAGCAAAATAAGACTTTGAAGCCAGACAGCAGGGAGAAGGGTGGCACTGCTAAGATCCCAGGGAGTTAATAAGCACTGATTGAGAGGTGTGGGAAGAAGAGGCTAAGACTAACATAGGGCAGAGAGGATGAAGTGTTTGAATGTTCAGGTACAGTGCAGTTTATGTGAAGCTAAGAGAGATTCACTTATTCAAATACATTTTTGAAGAATCTGGGAAATTTTTACAAGGAAAAATAATGGGCCGAAACCTTACTCAGACATAAGGTTCCAATATAGGCCTACAAAGTCTTTTTAAAAGTTGTATGTTTTCTGTTTCACAATCTCTTGAAATGTCCTTACAAAGGTGGCCAAGGATAGGCACAGAGTTGTCTCAAACATCCACACGACCAAGTCTTCTGGCACTGGAACGGATTTTTTTAGTTCAACTCCACATGAAGCTGTTGACTTGAATTTAGGGCAGTGCTGTACAAAAAATGTTTTAAAAAATTTAAAAACTAGAATTTCACTCAGCTCAAAGAAATACACAGGGCACATGTAGAAGCTAAAACTGATTAAAAGAGACCCAAACCTCTCAAAAGTTAAAGAAAGAAAAAAAAAAGAGAAGCAGTCATCTGAAATGAGGGCTCAGAAAAAGGGGAATCAGGAGTTGCAGAATTTGGCCTTCAGTGACAATGCTAACCTTTAAGCAGCAGCTTTGATGGGAAAATGCAGGAGAGAAGAGCAAAGCTCTACAGGATGAGACTACTGTAACAAAACAAGCAGCAGAAGAGGGAGAAGGATGAAGAAGATTTAGGTCAGAATTTTACTATTCTTGTTTTGTTACTGGTTTTTATATTCTCTTTTAAGCACAAGAAAATTTGGTGGAGATTTCATGTAAAGAAAGGATGACTAAAATATATCTAGGAATCCAAAACTATGTGGTAGTTCTACTTTGCTAGGTGGTACACAAAAAATATTCTTCTCTATAGCAAACCCTGGTCTGAATTGCTGCTGTTTAAAATGTGTAACATACAATGAAACAATCCAATATAATAATAATATACAGCCCTCTAGAACAATCGGAGACATCCTTGGTGAATTCAGCATTTTTACCACATTTTTTTTCTGTTAAATCCATTTGACCTCACATATTTCTACTTTTGTCAGTAGATGCCTACTATCTCTGAGTCAAAAGTGCTGGAAAAGGTTACAACATTAAACCTATCCAGTGCTGAAAGTTCTACCCAACAATGTCTTGCACAAAAACACTTATAGAGAGGAAATTTCTAGCTTCAAAAGCACTCCTTTTGCAGTTATAATTATTCTCACTTCCTGGATTTATTCATCTCCTTGCTCCACCTACTTATTGCCATCCAAAACAAATTGAAGTATAAGAAAATATACCACCTCTACCCCACCATGCTCACATACTCTTAAGGCACATTCACTTCCTGCTTTGAATGTTTTTTTAGATTTCTCACCTGTTTCCATCACTACTAGAACCCAGCCCTATTTATACTCCCTTCCATTATTTCATGCTTAGTATTTTAGCAGTCATTAAGTTTCCCTATTCTAATACACACAACATTGCCAGGATAATTTGCCTACCATTAACATTTCAAATTACATCCTTCCTCTACGGAAGAAACCTCAGGGTTCCTCATTTGACTTAGCAGTCACACATCTCTCCAGCTTTCACAAGGCCTCTGCCCACTTGTCTGTCACAAAGCAGCACCTCTGCAATCTTGTGAACGTTGCTCTCTCAGCCTATCCATTTCTCCTCTGCAGCAAGTCTGCCTTCCTAAGCAATGTAATATTCTCTCCTCTCCCAAATCTACCTTGCAACGCTGGAGATGGATCCTAGTATCCACCTCCATTGCATGGAGTAGTCCCCCACCCTATCTCTCCAAGTTGCCAAACTGCCTGGATTAGGCTCAAAATTGTGACCCTCTTGTCTTGACTTCCCATTGTACTGATAGTACAGGCATGTGCCATGTGCCACCAAGTCCAGGTGACAAGACAGTTCTTGAAAAAACGGTGTTTTATACTTCCACTGAATCCTTAATAGCAATTGGCGCAATGAATGCACAGTAAATGCTCAGGGAATACTTGTTGCTTGGTTTGTTAAAGAGTATTTTTAATTTCCTCCATTAGATTTATATTTGGAATATACTATTCAACATGACCTCAATGCTTACATTATTTTCTGCCTGGAATGCCCTCCTCTGTGCTTAGTGCATGTGAAACTCTTACGTTATCCTTCAAAGCTCAGTTGAAACATTTCCCCACTCTAGGAAGACATCCTTCATTATCCTACCCGAATGAATAATGCCCCACTGTTCCCTGTAGCATTTGGCTTATGAATCTACCATATAACTTATGGCAGTTTGTCTTCTAATATCCAGACTGTAAGCCTTTTCTTTAAAAGTGGGTGGCAAAATCACCTCATCTTGTCTTCATCTCTATGTGTTCTCCCTTCCCCATGCACACTTCCTACAGTGCCTAACACTGCCTCACAGGAAACAGGCGATCAATAAACACTTGTGGGCCAGGCATACTGGCGCATGCCTGTAATCCCAGCATTCATGAGGCTGAGGCAGAAGGACTGCCACAGCAGGTTCGAGGCCAGCCTGGGCTACATAGAGAGTTTAAAGCCAACCTGAACTATATAGCAAGACCCTGTCTCAAAAAACAAAAAAAAAAAACCAAAACAACAAAAAAATCCCATACTTGTGCAACTGAATGAACATTTTCCAATAAGTGTTTCCTTAAGTGAAAATAATAAAACAAATTTAGTAAGTGATGCACATTAGTAACTGTGAGGTACTTCCAAAAAATGACCTACTGTAATTATTTTAAAGATTATTAACATTCTTTAGTGAAGTCTAACCTAAAGGTAAAAGAATAGATTACATGACTTTTCAAGGTCATTACTGTGATTATAAATCAAGTACTTTGAAATATATATTTAAATTGCCATCCTAAAAACAAGAGGAATTATATGATAAATCTAAATATACCCTGGGGACTTTCTAGATGATAAAACGTGTATATAAATAATTTTTTCCCTAAGTCATGAGATCAATGAGTAATCCTAAAGTAATATTCAAACTTCAATGCATGACAGTGTCAAGATTTTGGTGACTTTTCTTTTTGATCATTATTTTTATAACAAGTCAAAAGACAGAATAAATAACCCAATTACTCCATTAAAATGTGAGAATACACAATTTTGCTATTCTACAAGAACTTCCAAAAGTAGATGGCAGCATAATATACCCTAATTTAGAACTAACGATTCTAAAAATCTGAAATACAGCCAGAGTTCCACCTGTTTACTACTTGTGTGACTTTGTCTAAGATAACCTTTCTGAATGTCATTTTCCTCATGTAAAATAATAGCACCTGCTTTACCTATTAGTATGGATTTATGTAAAGAGCAAAGAGGTAGCATAAAAGTAAGATACAATGCTACTGCAATTTTTTATCTTTAGATAATACTAGTAAATTACACTGTTCTACGATTTCATGAAAAATTTGTGATTAGACTATTCCTTGAAAACGTGATAGACCTTTTCCATAAAATTATCTGAGCCTGGTGTTTTATTGTGAAAGAAAAATGTTAATTATTCTTTCATTTCATTTAGTGATTATAAATTATTGTTTATTCTTTTTCAGGGAATTTTGGCTAAGAAATTTTCCTAGGAAACGGTATATTTTATTTAAATTTTCACACTTATTAGCATAAAGTTCTTCCTAGTATTCAGAGGTTCTTAGTATCTGCTGTATTTTATTTAATGTTTAAATTATGAATTATAGACATTTCACATTTTTTGCATTATATATTTAAATGTGCAAATACAAAATTAAAATAATTTCAATACAAAATTTAAAATAATTTTTGTTGCAATATAGCAAAATAAAGTATTATCTCTTGTATTGCACTGATCCTAAATAAATACATGCCACTCGACAGAATTGTCAGGTTACCAGTGGGCTTGCCATGAGCTTATTGATCTCTGCACTTTTCCATAACCTAATCTTCTTAAAAGAGACCATTCAAAACAAACAAAAGCTTCCTCGTGCAAGTCTTCCGTTCTCAAAGGGATGAGTGATTAGACAGCATAGAATACATTATTTCTGAAGTGCTACCCTTGGACACTCCCAAGATCCTCACACATATTTCAGTCAGTCTGTGATTTAGAGGGGGAAAAAATTCCAATTAGGGAATCCCTAGAGGGAGGGAATCCCTAGAGGGAGGGAATCCCTAGAGGGAGGGAATCCCTAGAGGGAGGGAATCCCTA